GATGTACCACATCGTGTTCATATAACAGGTGTTGCATCAAGGCATCTCTCACGTAATTTCCTGTAGCTAAAAGACTGGCTTTATAAATATGTACACTAATCGTTAGATCCGATAAATTTTATGGTACACCCTGAAAACCCTGCAAACAGACCATAATGAGTATTATCTCTTCATATGGGCATAAAATAACTTTCCCCGTAAAGTTTTAACGCATTCGAAAATAGCTTAAAGATTCATAGGAATCTATGCCCTAATCAAAAATTCACCAACCTATACGCCTATATTCAAACGATAACGCGAAATTGAGGTACAAACCGAGGTATATCCTTAAAAAAAACTTTGAAAGGAATGAGGAAAAATCATTCCAAAATACGTCATTTTAATCTGTTAAGTTTTTAACGTGTATAACGTGTATAATCGTTTTTGTTGGTACTCACCACTTCCCTCATCGCCCATGAAATGTCCCCAGCCACCACACGTATATGTGCTACCATCGGGATTACGTAGTAGAGCATTTGAACCTGTGCCGCTAATCACTACCATGCCACCGATTGGTGAAGCGGTGAAAACACTGCCCATTGTGTCGCTACAGACTATATAACTTTCCGAAATATCGGGGAAAGCGTTGTGCATTTCCTTCTCAAGCTCCCGATTTGTGGCTTCCTGCAAAAGAAATTTTAAAGGTTTTTTCTTATAAAAATTTGAAATGGAATTGAACTAAATAAAACGAAATCAGCGACAATAAAGTTTATTCTTCATTTAACTTAATTTATGTTGTTGTACTAAAGATGAAATGAAAGCTGGCATACGTTTCATTTACCTGTTCGCAACCGCTCAGACTTAATCCCAAACTGGTTAGACGCACATCCTGTTCAATGCCAGCTTCTTCCTTGGCACGCTCCACCATATCGGAAATTCGTCGTGCGACTTCCGGTATGCCGACCATCCAATGATTTGTGCCAAGACCACTGGTTAGAGCAACCGCGCTTCCCTGTTCATCGCAAATAACTAGCCGCGAGTGTGTGGCCCCACTGCAAAAGAAAGAATGATCAAAATCAAAATGGCGGACGATTTCCTCAAAAATGTATAGATTGTTATGAAGCTACGGTATCCGGAGATTTTTGTCGTCACTGATTTCGAAGATGCAACAGCTCAGTAACTGTTGCGATTGCATCTTCTGAACGCGTTGTTGTGTACTTCTGAGCAACTGAACAGTTGCGTGTTAGACGATCGTAATATTTTTCTGATCATTTGAGACAACATGTTACTGTATCAAGTTGTTCAGAAGACGCATAAGGATCACTGATTTTGTTTAGCAACGGTTGCGCCTTCTGAACCTACCCATTGATATTATATTTTCAAAAATTAAAAATGGCGGATCAAATATGGCGTCCCGAACAATAGGCATTTTTTTACATTGGCAATTTTGTGGATTTTCGAACTGTTGAAGAGAAATTGCTATGATCGTTGAAACTCTAACTAATATAAAAATTTCAAAATGTTTTCAATACAAAAAAATAATTTACATATAAAAAATGTATTATACCCATTTTACAAACAACTATATTATTAACAAAAATCGCAAAATAAAGTACATACATACTTCACGCCTCACTTTCCATGTTGACAAAACTATTAGTTGTCAAGTAGGAGGGTTCTACAAACTATGGGCCTACGTGTGCTAGTGAGATCAGTAACAGCCAATAAAACCTAACTTAAGCTAACCTAAGTAGGTATTCATACATTCCTGTTTATTAGATTATCTAGTTATGTTTATTGTTTTTCGGTGTATTTTATTGATGCAACCTGATCAAAAAATATACATAACCAGATATAAGCCCATGGAGCAAAATTAAGGAGGCAACAGTTTTCTAAGGAATGAGACGCATGTGGCCCAAGGAGCCTTATTTACCCACCGTTAGTATATTTAATTCTAACATATGTACATGACACCCATTCGCTGACGTCCACAATACTTTTGTTTACATTCACTGTTGCCAACTTCGTGCTTTTCGCACCAAATTTAGTAAGTATTCAAAACGCGGATTCTCGTGAGTGTGGTAAACATGATTTTTTCCATTCTTGTAAGTTGCTTACGATTACTATAATTGGTTAAATTCTTTTAAGAATTACGAACTGGTGTCTTCAAACTAAAAACAAAAGCATTAAAAACGCACCAAGCATGTAAACAAAAGTATTGTCTGCAGCGTTGCCGATTTGGTTAAATTTAAGCAAAATTGATTAATTTTATCCTGCCTGTTAAAGTGTTAAATTTTTCTTCGTTTTGCTAAAATTTTTGAAGACCAGGTCAAAGCAACATCGCAAAAAAAATATAGAAAAAAGGTTTTTTCTTGACAGCGGTCGTCCCTCGGCAGGCAATGGCAACCCTCCGAGTGTATTTCTGCCATGAACAACAGCTCCTCATAAAAATGCAATCGCCGTTCGGAGTCGGCGTAAAACTGTAGGTCCCTCCGCTTTGTGTGACAACATCAAGGCGAACGCCACAACATATGTGTAAGCGCCAATCTATTATTATTATTACAATTATGGTGACCATTCGTTAGCGATTTTGGCAAGACAGTAGCGATTTTTAGAAAATTGTCCCGCTAAATATTTTTTAAAAGTCAGGACATATAAGTGTACCAATTTTTCATATTTGTAGCTCGTTATATAACAAAGACCATGCAAGTTAAAATTTCCAACGTTGTACAAAGATTAGTTAAATTCGACAAAGCGTCGCCTGGGTAAAAGATTGTCGTACATATGTTAATTTCGGCAGGTTGTGGGAAATCGCGATTGAAGTTTGGAATGCAATTTCTCAAAAATGCGAAGATAGATTTTCTCCAAAGTCTCTGAAAATGTTACTAGTTCACCAAACTCTTAAATTATTTAATTTTAATGTTTATTGTTAATAAGTTTTGAGTTTATGAAAGATTTTCTTTAGCGTCATTTGTCCACAATTTGGCACTCACTTTGCATGAAATACGACAATGTGATCAAAATGTCTACCAAATTAACGACACTTTTTGCTCAATATCTCGGAAACTAAAGGAGATATACAAAAATGGAGAACGCCATTTTTAATATATTGCTTAGTTTAATATGACTGCATCACCAACTTTTAATAAATTATCGGAAAAGTTGTAGTCAATATCTCGGAAACTAAAAGAGATATCTAAAAACTGATAACACCAATCGAAAGGCCTTATTTCAAAATATATAACTGCATCTAGAACTAAAAATCCTCAAAATTGCGCTTACGACAATCTTTTACTCAGGCGACGAAAGATTCATAAAAATTTTGAGCTTTTTAATTATGTAGATTTTTTAGAAAAATTCTGACTATGCACATTTGTAGCCCATTCAATTCAAAGTGCAAATTTTTAGTAGCTAGGGCCTACCGTTTTTGTAAATGCTTTTTGTGGAAGGTATTGCTCATTTTCTCCATACAAAAAAATTGTCGAACATATTTTGTGTGGAAGAAAATGCGCCAAAAATGAACGGTAAGTCCAAGGTACTTCAATCTTGCGCTTTTAATTGAAGCTGTATAGTCAAAGCATTCCAATAATCTGATTAAAATATTTAAATTTTTTATCAACATTTGTTAAAATTCGTCGAATTTTTATAAATTTTCTACAAAGTTTGAAATTTACTTTTACCTGTTTTTTTGGATAGTGATAATTTTTTGCGATAATTTTTCAAGTTTTTTCTCTGTTTTGTTTTAAATAAATTTGTACGAAAAGATGGTATGCTTTTTTATTCTAAAAACAAAATTGTATGTTCGGATTCGATGCTTTGGAAATGTAACGAATTTTGTCCACAGAAATCTGGTCACCGTATGTATAATGTAAGAGGCTGGGCACAAAGCCAATTTTCAATCTGTATAAAAATGTAGATATACCTATACATAGTTATACATACGTACATATATATCGTCGTTTAAAGTACAAAACCGCGTATCGTCATTCTGCAAAACCGCATAACTGACATTTGCTGAAATATGGGATTTGCTCACACAAGCTCTTGGCTCAAGCCATTCGCCCTGAAATATACTAGCCAGAAATGCGATTGCTTTATAAAAAAGAGAACCATTTTGAAATAATTTATGCATATCACATACGCGGTGTTTCATTTTGTCGATACGCGGTTTTGTGCTTTAAACGACGATAGTATGTATGTAAGTACATATCGTCAGCTGAAATGAAAACGGATGTAACTAACAAAAAATACAAAATTAACTTTTTGATAGATTATGATGAGTCCCGTTATTTTTTTATGTAAAAAAAGTTAACGTATAAATAGTATTTAAAGTGTTTGAATGTGTACATGGGCGTAGCCAGGTGGAGGCAGTAAAGTTTTCCCTATATATATAAAAAATAGTACCCTGAAATGCTAGCTTAATGGTTTCCAGTGCCCCCCACCGCTCCCCCTCCCTCCTTGGCTATGCCGATGTATATATATATGTGCGAAGTTTGTCCCGTTAATTGGCAGATAAAATGTTAGAAATGAATTTGTCCTCGAGTGAGAGCACAAATAAAGAGCGTGCCAGCCCTGACAATGCAATATATTTCGGAAAGGCTGTCAAAATGAGAAATATCAGAAAGCAGTTGCATGTAGGTTGTCTTTCCAAAGGGGTGTTTTGTTTCCGAAAGGCGAGTCGCAGCGAAATTTTCTAAAATTTACACAGCGAATGAAAATCTGGCAATCTTTCTCGATACAAAAATGCAACCGTTACTCGCTTTGTCGGTTGGGCGTTATTCCTTTTCGCTATATAAGCATTATTTTCTGTTTGAAAAATAATTAACTAAGAACATTGCTGATATTTTATTTAAATTATCCGTTATTATTTTTCACAAACTCGTGATCTGTCACACGGCAACACGCGTTTGGCAGCACTTGCAACGGAAATAAAAGTTTCTTGTGCAGCGCGAGAAAGTTGAAATATACATATTTCCGAAAGCGGAACTGATTTCCGAAAAGTGACAGAAATATTGCCACATCTGACGCGCACTAACAGCACGAATTTTTTATGTATATATGTACATATGTATGTAATGGTCGTATATTAATTGAATGAATTTTGTATCAATCAACATTAATTCTAACGTATATGTACATACATATGTATATGTATCAAGATGTGGCTTAAGTGGTTCAGAAGAGCTTAACGCGTACAGTTTCCCTCATTAATATATTGTAATGTACATACATATTTAAAATACATATATGTACCTACATACATGTACATATATATGTATATTTATATTTCCAGGGAGGTATGTACATATTTATGTACATTAGACTGCTTCACCAAAAAAGTTGCGGTTTTTCCACCGGGATTACAAAGTTTCATGGGCGTAGCCAGGTAGGGGCAGAGGGGTGCTCCAGCCCCCCCCCNCCCCCCCTAACTTTCAAATTTTCCTTATATTATATAAAATAGTACCCTGAAATGCCAGCATAATAGGGTCGAGCCCCCCTAAATTTAATTCTGGCTACGCCGATGCAAAGTTTATTACCTATATTTGAAAATTTCTCCCAAAATATTTCGGAAAAACATTAAGATTTACGTGTGCTGGACCGATTTGAAAATACCTCCAAAACTAAAAAATATTTAATTTTTATGAATAAAAATAGTTTCTAAAGGAATTTTGTTGAAAAAATCTACATAAAAATATTAAAAACTTTGTTCAACAGAATCATAATAACTAGTAATTAGATTTTTAATTCTGTTTTTTTACATTCATTTTCAAACATTGGTTCAAGAAAAACTTGAATAACTCAGCCAAAGCTTTACCGATTTAGACTTTTTAATTACCATTGGAAAGGTATTTTCTCACCCTTTTCATTTCTTCGCAAAAACAACTCATTCACGTCCTATTTTTTTCTTAATCAAGTATCAACATATGTATCTTAATTCAACATGGAATGACGCTCGTTTATTTTACCTTAATTTTTTATACTTTGAATGAGCTAATTTGCAAAGAAGCAGAAATGGTGAGAATATACCTTTCCTACGATACCTCAGTAGTCT